AATGGAAAAAAAAAACAAGCTAGTGAAAATTCAAGTAATCTATGCTCGCTCTTTGCCCAAATGCTATGTGAAATTAACGTAGCGTTCCAGAAGTACAGTGAACTTCTCAACCAGGACTGCAATACTGCATTTCTCATGGAGAAAAATGCTAGTCATGCCACAGAACCGCACTGCTTTCCACTTCATCTGGGAGAAGCTTTAGATTTAGTATGTAAGCATCAGAACAGAGGAAAAGCTGATCAGTTACATATGAAGAAAATAGAGCTATTCCAGTTTTGTTTCTGCAGTTTGTTATTAAACAAAGTGACATTAACCACACAGTTTCTGACAAACTCAAAGTTACACATGGTTTTCAGACATCAACCGAATGGGAAAGAAAAGAAAAAAGAGGAAAAAACACAACTGTTAAAATGTTGGTGTTAAAATAACCAGTCTGGGAGAAGGAAAGCCAGACCACCGCTGTAACTGGGGGCAACTGACAGCTTGCTTGTTACGTATAAACTTCGAGACCTCCATGCCACAAAATGCCTTAAAAGTGCAGAACAAAACTATCAGTAATAAATGAGAACAACTCATTTTGTTATATCCATCACCTAGCTTAAACTTAGTACTCTGCATCTCTAATAGGTGCTTAACGAACAATGGATTCCCCTCACAAAAAAACAGCTACACAAGTAAACAGTGTTCACAGTAATGCAACCAGTAACAGGTTTTTTTTGTTTTTTTTTTTTTTGTTTTTTTTTTAGTTTCCATAAGTCAGGTGTATCTGCAAAGCTTTATACAGTTTAATGCGTAAGTATTCCAGTAAAATTAAGTGAAAACTAAGTTTCATTCTACAGGGTAATATCTACCATACAAGACTAGATTATGTACAGTATGGGACTGGTGTGACGACTGCCAGTGCATCGTGATGTTCAGCTACTTCACCCACCAGGTCGGTCTTCGTTCAACAAATCGTTAATAACTTGATGTACAGACCTACAAAACCTACAGATTGTTTTGGCAAGATTAGTGCTTCCTACCACTGGATGTACACCAGTGAACAGTGCTGCAAAATTAAGTTGACCTGAACATCCCATACCCACAAGATTACAATTTGTTGACTTGAAAGTCTGGACTTCACACGTAAAACATTAAAACTAGAATCCTAACTGGAGTGAGGGCAGTCAGTAAACAAAGCGATACGGGTGAAGATGAATTGCATCTCTTCAGAAAGGTATGGAAAGAATCAAACAAAACCTGACATTTCAGTCTTGAAAGACAGCCCTGCTCTGCTCAGCTCAAGGCATAAAAACAGCCCAAGTAGCTCTGAAACTACGATTCTTATTCGACAAGAGTAAAGGCAGATCCTGCACAAGAAGATGCATCAGAGGCTTCCGTAAGTATCTCTCCCCCCACTTCATTTCCTAACACAAGTATGTCTTTCAGCTTAGAAAAATCCAGTGGCCCTCCAAGCTCTACGAGCCTGCTGGAATCACTGCAGTGTCTGCAGCTGCAAACTCAATATGGAGGGGAAAGGTCCCCTTGAAGAAAAACTCTCAAATGCCTCTGAGGGCCATTTTGGTCATTTGTGAAAACTAAGAAAAAAACTTATTTGCAACAATACTTCTCATGAAAAAAGCTGGGTCACTGATCCATTATGAACATAGCTCTCACCATATAAAGCACCAAAAAGTCAGAAACAAGGAAAAAAAAGTTCTTAAATTAAGATTTACAAGTTTGTACACTATTTCCTAGGCAAAAGGTTGACCTTACTGCAAAGTTTATAGATGAAAACAAGACCAGTTACTCTTAAGGGGAATGTATATCTTGCTATAACTTAAAGGTAGAAAATATTCACTGTTCTATATACACATTTCAAACAGGAGACAGTTAAACTTAACTGAATAATTGCCAATGTAACTCATATTAACTCACTGACCACTCAACTAAGCATCAGTAGCCAATTAGAAAGCTTGAGTTCTGTACTTTTAAAAACGTGATTTTTTTCCTGTCCTGTTTAATGGGTTGTTTTTTTAAAAATGTATTATAGTGCATAGCCTAAGTCAGACTTCCAAAGAGATACAGCGCCTTTCAATGCAGTTTTTGCAGCATTCAAAAGGGACTTTTCTCCCTTCAAATTAGATGTTCATTGAAAAATCTGAATTGAGTGCTGTACTGTAGTAAAAATATTTCAGTCACAGACTGATATAAATGTATACTGTGCAGTACTATGATTGTTTGATGTCCATCTGCACACATTTTACTTGGGTTCTTCAATTGTCCCCTTGCTGAGGTCTGTCATTTTGGGGTATTTCACTTTCTTCTGGTCTAGCTCATTCTGAGCCCACAGTAGTAGTTTCAGTAATTTTGCCAACTTGGGTGTTGATTCACGATTTTCATAGTCTAGAACAGCTTGATTAACCTCACTCCATACCTGGAAAAGAAATACTGGAGTTTAGTAATAGTTTTCCTACGATTTACACTTGTAATGTCACACAGACACGGTTAACATCAACACAGCTTGTTATCTCTCAGAACGAAGCAAGGGCAAAGCTCCACGTACCAACAGCCTAGAGAAACAAAGAAGAAAATCAAACAGCTGATTATGGTAACATCAGTGTTTTGAATGCTGCGTAAGAAATATTTCTGCTCTTTTGCATGATGCTGTACACATTTGCATCAAAATCTCAGAACTCTCTGGACGTTGTTTTCACCACATACGAACAAAATACATCAACTTCCTTGTGAGCAAATCCTACCTTCTGTCGCTGCATCATGTTAAGCAAGTCTCCAAATGGTGACTCTTCAGGATTATCGAAGGCGAGCAAAGCCAGCGTGCGCTCCATTTCCGTCAGGCACTCCCGGCTCTCCTCGCCTTGCTCTGCCAATTGGGTCTGAGCAAACTCCAGAGCTGCTTCTGTCTCACGCTGCCGAATCAGTTCAATCAAATGCTGCTGCTGCATCAAGAAAAACACAGCAATGTTAGCTCAACAAGTCAGCAAATCTTCCGTATTTCAAGACCACGATCTTCAGTCACTAGTGTGTAATTTGAGACAAACACTAATCCATGCTATGGAAGTTTAAGGTCAATTCTAAATATCTGAGACAAGAAGTAACAAACTTGCCAACCAGATTTACTAGAAAAGGCAGGCTGATGTTTTCTTATAACATGTTTTGAAAACACGTTATAAGAAAAACATGTTATAAGCTCATTAAAAGAGCTACTAGAAACCCAAATTACGAGTTGGTAAATCACAGATCATTCCTTCTGTTACAAGTTTCCAAGTTACTAATTAATTGTATCTGACAGCTGTTGCACCATGCCACAGATTTTCCCATTGCTATAAAATGATATCAAAACCACACATTTCAAACTGCAGCCACGTTCAGCCACAAATCCCTTGCAATACCCTTAAGCCCACACTTCTTCCAGAGTTTCTTAACAACTTCTGAAACAAAAATAAGAATTTCCACTTGTTCTTACCTGCAAATGAAAGTAAAGATATCTGTTTGTATCTAACAGTTCTGGATGGAGGCTGTTTATTAATGAAATGGCTTCTTGAATCTGTCCTTTCAGTATCATTTCTCTGATTTTTATTCTTTCATCAAGAGTCTCTAAATCAACACTGGGTTCAATTCCAGACTCCATTCGAAATTTCTCCGCTGCTTCTTTAAAGCCCTCTGAAATAAAAACATTTTACCTACAAGTCAGTTTTACAAAACGCCTTAAAAAAATCAGTTTCACTGAAAAGATGTGAGCATTGCTTGCATATTTTTGTGATTCAAAGATTAACTCTAAAAACTGAATTCTAAACTTCTGAAAAATTCTTATTTATGTAAGCATCTGATCCAACAGGCACTTAGCAGTACGTGCTTAGTTCATTTGTAACTCAAGTGCCCTCACTCTCTAAGGATGCAAGCATCATGTAACTTTCTATGTTTAATAAAGCACTGTTCCTTTTTTTTTTTTTCCAAAAATGGCTCATATTTGAAGAATTTGCATGATTTTGATTCTCCCTCCAGTCCCCAATCGTGTCTTTATAGTTTTACAGAGAACAAACAGGAAAAGAAAACAAACTCTGCTTTTCTAAAACAAATACAGTGTTGCTAAAAGTTTTTAACGGCCACTCTGAATCTTAAGTTTTATTTCTATACATGCAGAAATGATTTAGCTTACTTTATTAAGCCACTAAGATGCTCTTCTCTCATCTCAGGAGATCCAGTTGCACACCAATGTAAACAGGGGTGTAGATCAAATATAAATGCCTCCACCCTAGTATAGCTTACTGTGATGGCATGCATCGTAATTGCTAGGGACAATTCCCAAGGGTTTTTGATTGCTGTAAGTGTAAAGTTAGGCCATATGCTGAAGGGCTTAATAATTTTGGTCTTCAACTGTTTTGACAACAGTGTCCTTTCAGAGTCTACCTTTCCAGACAGTTAAAACTTGCTTCTGATAAACGCTCTGTGAAGCTTTATGAGTGCTACTTAAAAACAGCTACATATCTTGAATTCTGTCGTAACAGCACAAAAAAAAGGATATCATAGAGAAGCAGGTTATTTCTGTTTACAGCAATCCAAAAATACTTTCTTCTATATCTTTTAGCATAAGAATTAAGGTCAGAGTAATTTCTATTTCAATATATCTGCTGGGTCCCTGTTTTAATCTAATTGATTCTGTGTCCACTTAAGAGAATACAAGAGCACCTGTACATTGCTAAAAGTCAAAAGCAATCACCAAATCCTTAAGTCCTTAATTTCACTCTTTATAGTACCATCCTCCAACCAAAGTGGTATGCCCCAACAAAATACAATAAAAGCCCCCTAGCATTACCTGTAACAAGGTAGTTCATGATAAGGCGGTTCATGTCTGCTCTCTGAATATGCAAGTTATTAAGTTTTTCCATCCATTCATCTTTTGTGATTTCATCAGGTTTTTCTGCATAACTCATCCTGGTCTCTTACTACAAAGAGAGAAAAGCATTTCATTTAACACAATTCAGTTAAAAGCAAGTTTAATGTGTGTAAGCACTGTGCTCCTGCTATCTCTGTATCTTTCTAATGAGATCTCATAAATATTCCAAAAGACACTTTTATCTGCAGGCATTATTTTACATTTTCTTTTCCTCCTTCCTGCACTTTCAGCCAGTTTCTAAAGCCGCTTTCATCCATCATCAAAATACAAAATTCAAATACCATTATCATGCGTTAAATCCAGTCCAAATAAAATCTTGTCTGAAAGTTATACAGGACCCACAGCATCACAAAGTAAAACAAATGAATCAAAGTTTTACTGCTAACCAGAAAACCTGTAACAAATTTCCAAAGCAAAATCTATACAAACAACATTTGTTTTAAAGTTTGTTAAAAACAAGAACGCTGACTGGACAGCAGTGTTTGTCACACAGCCACAAAAAGCAGTGAGTACTCCAGTGCGCAACCAGACGGCTTTGTGTGACCGTCCCAGAAGCGCTCCTACCATCGCTACTAAATTATTTCCTGGTGTTTTCTCTCAGATTTGGAAACAGTGCGCGCCGCTAAAACCGAAGCCGGTATTTGTCCACTTCTGACAGGGGCAGCGGAAGGGAGAGGAGGGGCGGCAACAACAGCAACAGGCACCACCGCCCCGAGCGGCAGCGCACCGCCTCCCGCCCCTTCCCATCAGAACGGCTCCTTCTCTCCCCCAGCTCTCCGCGACCAAAGTCGCACGGACCCCAACAGCGCCAGGCAGCGGGGCACAGGACGAGCCCGGAGCCACCCCAAGGACCGAGCGCTCCCGGCCCGCGCTCCCAAGAACGCGGCGTCTCCCCACGAACTGCTACGGCCCGAGTCCCGCTGAGGGACCCTGACCTTCCCCCGCTTCACAACGCGCCGCTCGGCTCCGGCCCTCCGAGGCGCAGCCCCCGAGCCGGCCCTCCGCGGGCCCAGGCCACCCAAGCGCACGGCTCCGCTCGCCACAGGCCCGGTGCCTCCCCGCCGTCCGCAGCGATCGGCAAGGGATCGAGCCGCCGAGGCGAGGCGAGGGCCGCGGCAGCCCCCGTCCCCCCGGAAAAGGAGAGGCTTCGCTGGCGCCATCTTACCGAGCGCGCTACGATACCGGCTTCAACGCACGAACGCGGACTCCACCGCCGCCTCTGCCAGGCCTCTGGCGCGCGGATCTCGCGAGAACTGCTCTCTCAGCCAATCGGCGCCCGGAGAGAAGCGAGAAAACGCAACCATAGAGATGGGCCGCGGGACAGAGTGTACACCACGTATGTACGCACACACATCCAGTGGGGTACCATAGAGAAGACCTGAGGCGCCTCAGTACCGCTAGACTGAAGCTGGTCCCGCCGGGAGTACCATAGAGTTAGAGCGATCGAGGCCAGGCCGCAAGATGGCCACCCTGCCACCAGGGCGAGCGGTGCTGGAGGCAGCGAGGCTGCATGAAGTGGGGCTGGGGAGCAGTTCTCATCTGTTCCTCATCTCCCTTCTTTGGGTCTCACCTGTCAGGCAGGGCCTTTGCTGACTCCATCATGCCGCCTGTCCCAGCTGCAGGGCCCGCTGTCTCCTGTTCCTCCTTGGTATTTTAGTGCTTCAAGCAACAGTGCCAGCCTACTCTGGGACAGCCAACTTGCAGTCTGCAGACCTTCTTCAATTGCCACACTGGACTCCTAAATGAGGACTCTGATCTACAATCTGTAAAAAATCTATATTGGCTCCAGAGAATTAATAAACTTGCTGCAACTAGATCCAATAAGGTTTATGAATCAAGGCACAAAGACAACAAAACAGTTCTATTTGTGTATTTAAATAAGAGAGCAGGGCTTAAGAGATACATTCGCATATGAAATATGGCAAATGATAGTAATAGGGAACATATAATTTCTCTTATACTGAGTGGGAATATGGATACAATTACTCATTTTTCACTCCTGTTTTTTTTGTGTTTTTGTTTTTGTTTTTGGTAATTGCACCACAAGATGCAGTTTCCAATTTTTTTTTTTTCCCATTACAATTGTTCCTACATTGAAATTGATGCTCTCTATAGTTTGTTTTTTTTTTTTTAATTCTCAAAAAATCTCTCATCGTTCATAAACAATAGAAAGCTTTGGATAGAGAACTTCAAATATAAACTAATATATACCATTAGTTGTTATCTACAGGACAGAAAGCTATAGCACAGCAAGTATTCATCCTGTTTGGAAAGAGATTTTCACCAGTTTAAATCAAAGCAATCAGTCAAACACAAAAAAGAAACAAATCAAAACAACACCCAACCCTCTCAACAAATTTGATACTTAGGGAAAGACAAAACGTTCCCATTCTATTTCTTATACATCTGAATCAGCCACCATGTCAACCTTTCCTTTAGATTCTTGTTCCTGATTCTTGTCAGCTCCTCCCCCAAAAGGTGGAGTTTCTCAGGAGACTTCCATAAAGACAGAGGAGTAGCAGAGTGCCCCTCTTTCGAAGGGTTTCCTGAGCTCAGTATTGAGGGAAGCGCACCCTGGGTAAAGAGGAGACACGTGAGAGCTACTCTAGCTGCTGTTTACAGGTGAAAAGCAAAGATTAGCTCGTAATTGCTTTTTAAACAGTAGAATAATATACTGAGTAAGTAAACTGAAAATGCATGAGCTGCTAGTTGGCAGCATGCTAGATGGTGCAGTGATGGCACTGTTTTTTTCACAGATTGGAATATTCAGCTAACTGCAACAGTATGTCCCCTTTTTTTTTTTTTTTCTCTTTCCTTTTTTTGTCTCTAAGCTGAAGAAATGCAAAAAATGAGCCAGTAACCATTCCTGTTTTGTAGCCTTGATTTTGTTAAAAAAAGGCATACTGCTGGCTTTCTTTCTCCCCAGACATTTTCAGGAGTAGGCCTTTTTTAAGACTTTTATGTTAACAAAAATGAATTTGTAACCTATTTTCAGGGCAATGTGATTTGCTATGTTCTTTCTTTCCTTGCCAATGCTTTCCCCAGCATTTTGACGGTAATATCAAACGCTAACTGGACACCTGGAGTATCTGTACTGGCTGATGTGCTGGACTCTGGGGACACAGGCCTTTTTCTGTAAACCAAAAAAGGTAAAGCTGGAGCACAGCCAACAAAAACTGGTCTCTTCTGACTTGAAGTGATCAATATTCATGTTAAAAAGCAATGGAGTAGGGATGAGAACTTGCTCATTAGCTTTCATTCTTACCCTTTTACTGGGCTAACTCTGTCTCTACTTTTCACCTGTTGTTGTTTTCTTGTTCTTAACAAATAAATAAAAACACAGAGAAACCCCAGGGATAGTCAAGCCCATATGTATTAGCTGCAGAAGAAAATCTCAATGTATTGACAGCCTAATGGTAGACAAAATCTGGGAAAGCAATGGAAAAAGGTTTTAAGGAGAGTAGTGCTGAGGGCTTGGTAAATATCCTAGCATAAGCTTTTCCGGTACTTAAGGATAGATGGATAAGGTGCTTATTAAACTGTTTGAGAAGCAAATTGATATGCATTCATCTTTTTGCTAGGATTTCTCGGCAGATTTGTGAGGTTTGTTTTTTTTCAGCTCAAATTATAATTACCTTTCTGTTAGAAGCTACAGTTACATTGTGCAAGAGAAGACATAAACCAGCCAGGACTAACTTCCCTTAATGAAGGGAAATCAGGCTTTAAAAGTGGAAAACAGTGTGGAAGGGAAAGGAATCAAATGAAGCAGAGAAAAAGCTGAAGTGCTGAATGTAGTGGTCAAGTGAAGGTGACATAGGAGTTTATCAGCAAGGATAGATAATGGACTTGGTGAGAAGGCAGTCTTTAACACAATGATGTAGGGGTTTTGTGGGATGAAAGCATTATGTGCTTTAGTTGGTATTCGCTGGGTGTGCAGACTGAGTTAATTATCACATTAAGATGATACAAGCCTCTTACCAAATGTGTGTAAGAGCAGATTAATACTTCTTTCACTGCTGGGTCCCCGTTCACTACTGATGTGCACCTCCTTGTTTTGCACATTCCCTTTTCCTTGGTATAGATTCCTCATTATGAGCATCACTGGATGCTAGAGTTGACCATTAATGATATCATTAGCTTTTTTCAGGCACGAATCACAGAGGGGCTTGATCTACTACATCAAAAGGTATTTATTTCCATTCCACGTGCCTTTGTTTTATTATAGCTCTGTAGATACAGAACAAAAACTACTGCTTGTCTTGTACTTTCATACAGGAACCTGCTTCTCACATCTTGGTGTTCCTGCGTGGAGTAAGTATTAATACAGTCCTGTTTTACAGGTGGAGAGGTTTCCTGTGTTGTTAGGAAAAAAAAAAAAAAGCTAATGGAAAATTTAATGTCACCACCCTTAGCTTTTATTCCCATGAGTCTCATACTGTGCTCTTGAATGTAGATTTCTATAAAATGTAATTGCTTGTGAAAGTTTGGCTCCTGGTGTTTCTTAGGAGCCTAGACATTTTGAAAGGATGTTTTTTGGGATAGAAGGGTGTTTACTGAGCGGCCTTTGTGCATGAAGTCAGTTAATGCAGTGAGCCCTCCCACAGCATCCAGATCCGCAGGTAGGCAGTAATGCAGCAGCTGCTACTTGATTTTTCCGAATCAGGTGGAATTAAGGTGAAAAATGGAATAAGCAGAGGTGTGGAACACAGCTGATGGAGCAGTTGAGTCTGCAAGCAGTAGGCAAACTCTCTGCCACGTTAATCCTGTCATAGATCCTCTGCAAGACAAGTCGCTGTAAAACAGTATATAGGACTCGCTACACTTTAGCTCTGCTTGGCGGGGCCATGAGGGAGCAGCTCTGCTCCCCGCGCTAGGGCTCAGGGCAGGCAGCGAAGGGCCGCAGGTTTCCCGCCCAACACCCAGCTGTGAGGGAGCGCGCGCGCTGCTGAGCCTGGGGGTGGAGCTTGTATCGGCCGAAGTCCTCCGGGAGCCGTGCGCAAAGCGAGGCACGGTGGCCGTTCTAGGCAGCGGTTGGCCGCCATATCCGTCTCTATGGTAGCGGGGGAGGAGCGGCCCCGCCCAGCTCTCTGGAGCCGTTGCGAGAAGGAAATGGCGGCGCGGCGCGGCTGAGACCTTCGGTGGCGGAGGCGAGATCCCGCACCCACTCCCCACGGTGAGTGAGGGAGGCAGGGGGAGAAGTACCGGCGAGAGGAGGGAGAGCCGGAGCCGGGCCGCCGCCGAGGCGGAGGGGTGACGGAAAAGGGACGGCCGGCACCTCAGGCCTCGGGGCTCGACGAGAAAATGGAGGCGGGCGGGCGGTGCGGTGCAGGCCGGGCGGCCGCAGGGCTGCGGGCGGGGACGGGGACGGGGGGGGGAGGGGGCGGCGCGGCCCGTTTTCAGTGAACCGTCGGTACAGCTGCGGGGCGAGGGCACGTCGGAGGCCTGGCCCGCTTCCAGAGGAGGTCGGCGACACATTGCGGGGGCCCCGGAGGAAGCCCCGAGCCGCCGCCCCGTAAGCTCCTAACGTGGTTGGGCCGCGGCGGAGAGGACGGCCTCCGCGGGCGGAGCGGGCAGGAAGGCGGGCTCCTCCATCTTGGGGGAGAGACGAGCAGAGGACAGGCGTGCGATGAGCCGAGCGACGTCACGGTTCCAACTGACGGCGGCGAGATTCTCTGTGACGCTGCAACCGACATAAACCGCATTTTCGGTCCCGTACGACGAATCCCGCTACCGGACGAGGGTTTCTCCGCCGCTGGTCCGTTAAGCGGCCGGGTGCGGGCGGAGCGCTGCTGCTCCGGATGCCCCCTGAGCGCTGCTGCTCCGGATGCCGCCTGAGCGCTGCCGGGGTTAGGGGTGGATCCTGGCACGAGGTTACGGGGTCTGGCACTGGGTGATGCAGAAGGCTCCTCTGTGGTGAGTTCAAGGAGAAAAGCAGAATTTTAAGATGTGCTGGTGTCTTGCAGAGGAAGGTGAAGGGGTTGCATCGTTAGGTAGTTAAAGCCAATATTGTATTGAATGTTTATACTAGTCAACGTCTGGTACTGTCTACCTTTCTCCCTCCCCACTGGTGTACTTCAATACTGTCCCTTGGAGGTAATGATGTTTTAGAGCTGTTTATGTGCCTTGCATGAAGCTGTGCTTTGAATATGACCAAATTCTGTTTCGTACAGTTATTCAAGCAGTAGCTCCATGTTAGTAGTGGGTGAATAAGATCCTATCATCTTAGCTTGTCATTTCTAACTTGGAAAGAACGCTTCAGTCTCTTTAATAAACTGAAAAATGTATATGGATTACACTCTTCTGTATATTCAGTACTTAAAGACAGTGTATGTTCTTGTTTTGTTGCACTGGTTTTGTTTCCTTTTTTTCCTGGGAACTTCAGGATGGGGAAAAAATAATGATTCATTTAATGTGCAAAGTTGTGTGTAGCATTCTTAAGATTCTTTTTAAAAAATTTTAATATTTTAGACTCTAGGTAATCTTTTTGAGACTGCAAAAGTAGTTTTTTTCAGTGCTTAGCCATCACAGCCTTGTTTAATTATATTCTTTGGCAGTTGATATTCAGCTGTCTTTTAATTTTATAGAAACTTTTCCACTTCTTACAACTATTTTATATAAGGCTTTTTTTTTTGAAGTGGGAATGTCTAGAAGTATAGCTTCAGCTATGTCTTGGTGATACATTTGTGAATGAAATTTAGCAGCCATTTAAGCAGTTGGATTGCTGAATAATGAAAAACGTCAATATGTAGTTACTATACAAGTGTAGGATTTACTATATTAATTGTAATAGATATTCGGGTTGTGCTTTGTGTTTTATGTTCATTCTTTGACATTTCAAGCTTTCTATAGGAGTAAATACAGAAGTATGCTCCAAATAGCTGTTGGGAGTTGGGCCTTCAGATGTTTTCCTTTATGGTTGCAGAAAAATATTGCACAAAACTTTGGTGGAAGAGTAGCGACTTGTGTTGGCCTTCAGCCTGCTTTGATTTGCACGAGTCCAGTGATTTGCAAATCGGATAACAGTTGAATTAAAGACTAGAGTTTCAGTATTTTTTCCAAATGT